ACCCAAACCAATAAATCTGTCCTGGTGAGTTCTGAATTCTTGTGCATTGATGCTTTGTGTATGTATGTGCGGGGGTCTTATATGCGGTATCTAGTTGCACTACACCTTTGGCGGAGGCTAATAGGTAAYAATATTTCCTAAATTCCAGACAAACCTTCAAGCTGCATCCCCCTTCTGCCTCAGCAGTTTATTATATTTATGAAGCACTTTAAAAGCCGAAGTGCTGCTGGTACAGTCAATAAAACACAACAGCATTCAGAATACCTAATGAAAAGCCTAAAAGGCAAAGCAAAACAGCCTTGTAATAAAAATAAACACATAAAATCAATTAAAATAAGCTAAAATTACACTAAAAACCAACATGTTGCAAGCTTGTCAACATGAGACAACATGAGGGGTATCAGGTGTAGCATCTGGTGAAGAGTGAGCGAGAGAATTTAAGACTTAAAAATTAAATAAAAGAATRTAAAAATACATTTACAGGCAGTGCATTAAGGCTAAAACAGCACTAATATACTGTATACTACAATAATTCATCTGAGTGGTGACAGAGTGGATCAAATTCTCAGCTGCTTCTACTGAAAAATAGCTCAATTCAMCACTGCTCTGATTTGATTATCAAACTTAAGTTTAGATTTAAAAAAAGGTATTTGTTCCTGTCAGACTCTTCTAGTGTTGCTGCAAAGTTCCCACATCATTTTCTGATAACGTTATCAGCAGCCACAAAGTGCTGCCTGAGGTCTTACTCTTGTCTTGATAGTGAAACTTACCCAGTTACCTCTTTGATAGTGCAGTCCTAAAGGCCCACTTTATCCACATGAGTTTTGTTTTGTTGTGAAGTACAAAACTGAACATAGAATAGAATAAAAATAATTGTTTAATCTCAGCGAGGAAATCCAACCGTTGGCATAAAGCAGATACAATAAAGAGTCTTCTGCAGAAGCTACGTAATTGATGTCAGCATGACGCCTGCAGTGCTCACTTTAAGAGGCTACTGAGAGGGAAAACAATTTATTGATTAAATTAATAAAAAGATTTGTTTAGAGATCTTTTATTATATTTTACTAATGCCATAAACATTCTTATATTWTGTTTTAAAGAAATCAAGATAGCAAAAAGAAGAATGTATGCCCCAAATATTAATTTAGGTTGAGCTTGGGTTCATTTTTTCACTCAACTAGAATTTAAATGCAGTAAAAGCATAAAAAATAAATGAATAAAAGGCCCAAAATTCCATTAGAGTACACTCAAAAAACAAATTGTTGTACTTTTACTCAAAAAATGAGGTTTTTGCACCATGCTGCGGGGACTGGAAACTAGTTGGAGTTAAAGGAAACATGGATGGAGCAGAAACCAGACAAACTCTGAGGACTTTGTTGGAGTCTTCCAGAGATCTGAGTCTGGTCCAGCTTCCTGCAGGACAGGGCCTGAACACACAGCTGAAGCTGGGTTTKGACTGAGCTGCTCCACGACATTCATCTGGTTCTCCTTGAACCTGTGAGAGTCTCTACTTTGAATTAAAGATAGTTTCACACAGAATAAAGAAATGGTGCCAGGGGAAAAAAAATCCATAGATTAAGTTCAGTTTAAAGGTCATCATAATTAATTAAGCAAAACAGGTGTGTGAATAAAACCAGGGTTGATGCTGAAGCACATCAAATGTGTCGTTCTGTTTCCAGGCATAAAGAAAACTGAGGAAACTGAAGCAACAAGTTGGTGTTTTCTGTTTTTCTCTTCTGCTGCCCTCTCCCTCAAACAGATAGCCAGTCAGGAAATTAAAAAGTGCTGCCGTGATAACGAGACTCGTCTGTTTCGTCACTAACTGATAAAGTGGTTTATTGAAGCCTGGCAACCAAAAAATGCAATAAAGCAACAGCAGGAAGGTAAAAACTGAGCTATAATTAGACTGCGGTGTTCGCCACAGAGAAACACAGGAGTTCACGATAAAGAGAACGACAGTGGAGGTGAAACTGACGTCCGTCTGTTTTCAACATGAACTCAGGTTTGAAGCAAAGTCACATGAATATTCAGAGCTTAACTTCAACAGAAAACACAACTAAAGCAATATTAGCCTGTGAAACACACGTGAAAAGTGTATTAATGTGTATAAATGTGTATAAATTACATTCTTGTAAAGTCAAAAACTCAATACCGTAAAAATCTTTTCTTGTTCTTGTTTTCCTTCACTCATGTGTTCCTTGTTTGTTTCCACCACAGACGTATTGAACGATGCCATCTTCGATGAAGACCACGACGAGATGGTGATTGTCAAAGACATCGACATGTTCTCCATGTGTGAACACCACCTGGTGCCCATCTTTGGACGGGTGAGGCCGACACGCTCGAACACGAGACACSTCCTGTCTGAGCAGAACGCTGAGGGTGTAAATTACCAGCTTCATTATGACATGATRTTGATTTGTCTGCGATCAATATGGTTTTTTTTTTCAGGGTTTCCCCCAGAAATGTGGTTACTGAATGATACTCAAGAGAAAAACCATCTGAAAATTAACTCATCTGAAAAAAMCATCCTCGTTATTTCGTGATAACAACTTAATTTGTCGAAATCGCGACAAAACCATGAAAAATAATTATATGCAGAAAACGGCCACTCTCGGCTTCCGTACACTGCAGCTCTCCTTATGACAGAAAATATCCAAGGCTAGTCTCAGTGGGGGCGGCTGCAGAAGTGTGGACGATGAAGTAACGTACGCAGCCTACAGTTTTTCAAGCCGTACGTATAAAATGGGTCATGATTTTCAAAAACCCTCTGTGTAATATACAGCCTCACGGCTCACTGGGCACTTGGTCCCGAACATTAAAGTGTTGGGGGAGGGTTACGTCTTTCCCAGGAACATAGTTCCATTCTTTACCACAATTGAGTAAGTATGGTACCTTCAGTYGTTATGAAAATGTATRCATCAAAAATAAAGGAGGAGGAGCTTTGTGCAATAGGCGGTGCGTTGTATCAGTAACTGTTTAGGCAGCTCCACATGGCTACCACAGGAGATTCAAAGGATTTATCAAACATACATGAATGAGACAAAGCAACACTCTGGCATGTTTTACGTTATAAAGCTCGAACAAAAGCTGCAGCGAGGCAGAGCTGAAGGACCTTTGAGCCACAGGTTGCAGCTTCATGTTCTGTTCTTTGTCTTTAATGCTCTGAAACTTCATTAAAATGGCAGAGGGCTTCACCTGTCTGTGAACAAACCCTTCATGTTCCAGGTACAAGGGTTGTATAAATCAACACATCACTTCCTTGCAGCTGTGTTAGCCGTCCTTATTTTGGGTTCATTTGATGAACAGAATCTTGTCAGAAACACGCCAGCAGATGTGGATCTTAAAAACCAATTCCTGGTGTTTGTCTGGAGGCCGGCGGTCTGAGCAGCAGAGAAACAATCAGATTAGCTGAGATCTGTTTGTCTTCAGCCCCCCTCTCTGCTGCTTTCACGTCATTACTCCTCCTCCTCCTCATCTTCCTCCTCTCTGGTTCGGCCTTTTCTTTCCATCCCTCTGTTTTCCCCTGCAGGTGCACGTCTTTAAAACAAAAGGCGCCTGCAGCTGATCTTTTTCCGTTGGTGTAAATGGACTCTGATGACAGCAGGGAATCACACAAACACCACTTCCTCTGTGTGTGTGTGTCAATAACCCTCGCTGTCAGCAGCCTCTCACTCCGGCTGGATCCTCCTCCACTGCTGATCAGCTGGAGTGCAGGTAGCTGCTGCTCGTCCCTGATGAGCTGTTTCAGTGTCAGCTGTGTCAGAGCACTTTATTACAGGCTGTCGTTTAGTTTGAGGTTAGGAAAGATGTCGTCTCATCGTCTCAAGTATTGTATTAGGAAAGCTGGATGGAAACGGCAAAATTCGCAAAAACTTTCTCAGTTTCACAAAATAAAAAAAAATTTTTTTGCTTGCTTGTGGTGGCTTTTGGATTTTCTGAAAAATAGTTAATGCGCAAAAGGGGAGTTGGAAACACATTTGTCAAATAGGTTCTGACTTAGTGAACATTTGCCTCACATGGTTGATYGTTCCYGTGGCTGCAGCTGCACCCTCCTCCCGCTGTCGGCGTCTTCCAGGATATTCCTGTAACATAAAGAGAATACTCTTTTTGCACATTACAAAGCACGCATGAAACGAACGTTCTGATTGGATGGTGAAATGCCACCACAGTTATCGTTCCTGGGGGAATGTAATTTGAAAGAGCGAGGTGATGATGGCAATTTGTAATGTCGATGCGTGGTTTCTGAAAATTGTGGAMAACCAATGGTAAAAATCCCTGAAAAGTGTGCCGTGGATCTGAGAGGATGCCATTGTAAAGCAGCTGTAGAGGGGGGGCCACCGTGTTAAAGAAGACAATCGCTGAAACACTTTGAAGTCAGAGAGAGCGAATGTGTTTTCCAAAGATGGCCACGTTCAGATTGTTGGTGTTTGTGGTGCTGTTGTCATGCATGCTAAAGTCAAAGCAAGCATGAAGCAACAGAACTATGCGGTGTTCATTGTGCTGATTAAAGTGGTGAAACCCCTCTGGCCTTTTGTGAATGCCCAGCAGGGTAAGTTAGTTGTTCTTGTCTTGTTTTCAACAAACTTTTGACTCAAGAGTCAGATTCAAACGTTTGTGTCAATGCCAAAGAACTTCTCGCATCAAAACTTACTGAACTTTAGACTGATTTGGTGTTTATTATTTATTTATGATTCCACACTTTACTGTGTTTTGTCAGAGTGAAGTCGTGACCCAGCCATAGCTTTCTTCTTGTAGCAGCTTTGCTCGACTTTAGAGGATATTTGTAAAAGGAGCAATCTTCTCTTTTACCTTTTACTCTGTCACATTGTCTAGAACAGTAGTTCCCAAACTTTTTATCTTCTGACCCACAAAATACTTGTGACCCCAAATATTACTGGTCTGAGKACACAAACTTWGTTAATAACCCTAAAAACACAGGCTTTTTGACAATCTAAACAGCTTGTACACAAATATAAATACTTACTTATACTTATTTTGTGTTTTTGTAATAGTTATTGGGAAAATATTACATCAGCAATTATTTTATTACCCTTTA